TGAGCCACGTTTTTTTTGCAAATGATTAGGTTTATACAAAAAGGGAACTGTTGAGAAGTCGCGGAGGCTGTTCTGCTTGGGGCGTAGGCGTCGTGTAAGCATTTTGCGTAGGTGGGTGTTGAAAGATTTGCGTAGGCAGTCTTGCGTAGGCACCCTTTTCATGAAAGCCTGAATTTTCTTACTCAGACTTCTTTAAAAGTTGTTCAAGGGTCTTGGGGAAAGATAATGTTGGCTTGTAGTTGTTTAACTTGACACTTGCTTGCAAATTCCAGTGGGGAAGGAAAATGAAAATGAATTGTAACGACATGGCTACAGTGGATGTTTGAAGTTTGTTTGTCGAAGCTATGGGGGCACATTGGTTTTTGAGGTCAAAAGCTTGATCGTGCTTGGTCTGGCACACCGGCTCTTGAGCTACAACTGTGCGCACCCTGTTGGTACCATAATCAATGGACCTATTTTCGCGTAGGCCCCGCGTAGGCGCTCGCGGAAGCAGCGCGTAGGCAAGAAGCTATTGGCTGCTGCTACTGCTTGGCTGCTGCTTTTGCTGCTGCTTTTGCTGCTGCTTGGCTGCTGCTGCTGCTGCTGCCTCTTGTTTTCTGCTTGTTGTGCGCTGTTTATGTGCTGCTGCTTCCACACTGTAATTGGATCGGCTTGATACAAAATCTATCTGGCCATCGGTAGCAAAGCTGTAAACGCCTTGTAAACAGGAACCTGCTGTGACCCGGTCGCATCGGGCCACTACTTGCGGATTATATAGCTCTTTTCGAGTCACCTGATGTGACTAAAGTTGGTGACAGCACCCTGCGTAGGCATCCCGCGTAGGCACCTAACAAAGAGAACCTCTCGCGTAGGCATTTGCTTGAGAGGGGAGCCCAGGCGTAGGCACCCGCGTAGGTACAGACCCAGTGTATAAACCCCACACCACAAAAAAAAAACACAACTCACCTGTTACAGTTGCTGCTTCCAGGTGATGAGGCGGGAGCAACTCCTCGAAGGAGAGCGACCATGGTCGGACATTGTAACAGGTCCAGAGAAACTCAGACATCGTCTCCGTAGATCTTGCATGATCTTGCGATCAGTCGATCTAAATGATCTTCTTTGTTGCTTTAGGAATTCGCTTGGTTGATTTGGCGCCTTTGGGCATAGATGTGGTGTATGTGAGGATTGGAGTCAGGGGCTGTCTTGTTGAGCTTGATGAGCAGGGGACATCATGCAAATGCATGCAACTGTAGCTATGGAGCTATGCGTGCAAATACTAGTGTTTGTTGTCATAAGGTTGTGAGAACCCCGATACTGTCTGCCAACTGAGAAACGGAGTCACTACGTAGAATGTACGGAATGTATTTTGTCAGGAAAATTCAAGAACAACCGCTGGAAGTCTTCATGTTCTCTCGTTCTCTTGGAAGCTTGTCAGGAGCACAGCGTCTGCTCGCACGAGCCGCACCAGTCGCACAAGCCGCACGAGCCGAGCCAGCCGAGCTAGCCAAGCCAGCCAAGCATCGAGGCAGAGCCAGGCAAGTCAAAGTAGCTCCAGGAATTCAGGACCGGTGCCGTTTCCGACAGATTTGGATGGAGGTTTGGATATGTTGGGATGGAGCTACTAGCCAGGTGAGAGGAATCTTCTTAGCAGCTGGTACTAGGATGATTCTATGAAGAAGTAGTCAGATGCAGGAGATGTTGGTTTTCAATGGTTTTCAATAATTGAAAAGTACCTTGGCCCAGTCATGTTCCTTCTTTGTGCAGCTAAACTCAATGCCAAATTTATAAGGATCGATACTTGAGGACAGCAGCTTTTGGCCTGATTCCTTTTGTATGCAACATCAATGTCTTGTTTGCTCTACACCGCAGGCACCAAAAAGAATCCCGAAACATCCCGAAACCGCATGTCTTTCTACCATGGTACTGACCGGTCTCCTCCGGTCTCCTCCGGTCTCCTCTGGTCCTCACAGGATCGGTGAACGGCCGCATCTCGCAGGTGGGGCCGGACCGTGACCCAAACCATCTTTTACCGAAGGCTATGTAGTTCCTAGTAGCGATGCCAGGAGCCCCGTTCGTAGCTTCTTGTTCGTAGTAAGGATGAAGGCTATGAGGTTGGGGAATGGAACATGGAATGTTTGGGATGGGGTGTTTGATGTTGCAGACAACGTGGATGTACATGATGTACATGTGGATGTCACAGATGTCACACTCAATCGTGAGTGGTGCTTTGTGTTCTTTCTGCAACATGAATCCAGAACTCAGAGCCTCTCCTCTCTATCACACTGGCGACACAGGAACTTATCACTATAGTCATCATTATAGCGGCAACACTCTAAACAACAACCCTTTTCCGTGGATCATCAACATGGATTTGGAGGCTTCACGAATATGTTGTGATCATTCTGTGTGGAAGCAAACTACCGTGAGCTCAAAAAGCGGAACGCATCCTGAGTGAAGCAACACTTTGGTCCACGCCTCTCCAGGCCTGGAATTTGCCAGAGGATGAAGTGAATCCCAGGGAGTTCAGGCAGTCTCTCTGCGCGGGTTCGGACGCTCCCCGTCTGTGCTCAACCTTCGCACCCGTCCTGGACAGGTTGGTATATATATGATGGATTATGATGGTACATGGGTGGTCACGGCTGGCCCAAGATAAGCCCTCACGAGCCGACTAGCGTCTCTGACCAAAGACGAAAGGTTTCGACGCGTAGGTAGGGACGAATCACTTTTTGGGGTTTGAAATCGATTTGGGGGGCTTGGTACTGGAAGACACTTACAGGGCACTGCGCTTCAATGGTCAGTGCACCCTTACAACGACGATGGTCGTCAGTCACGATCACTATAGATCCCGGTTCTGAGACCGAACGTACCACCCTCGCACCGCAGACGGGTCAAGAAGTACCTGGCATTCTGTCTCCTTGGCACCATGATCGGCTTTGCCATTGGCGGTGCTGGATTTAGTCTCCCAACGCCTGCGAAGCTGAGCTGCAGAGAGAATCAAAGAGAACTGATGCCAGTTTGGATGGTGACGGCATGGCGATGAATGGCCTTTCGCGCCTCTATACATATTAAATCAGTCAAGGTAGGCAGGGTCGGTGATGAGGAATTATTCGGGAAGCGTCAAGTCAACGTCTCCCCGTTGTTTGAATGCTCAAGCCAAACTGGGGAGACTCCCCTGACGAGCAGAGTCACTGCTGACCCCTCAGGTTAAATTTTCTCTGGTTTATTTCGTGCTGCCATGTCCGCTGATGACGCCCAGACACGCCGTGCCGTCGAGCAAGCGAAGCTCGATAGGTGGTGCGCGGCTCATCACATCGAGGCAGCCTCCGACCTGGCCTTCTGCGTGCCATTGCTGATGGCTGGGAACAGGCCCGCCGCGAAGTCGAGATTGGGACTGGAGCTTTGGTTCCGCTGTGGGCAGGTATCGCAGGCGGCTCCTCGTCCTACTATTTCACCGACTTTGACATCAAGACCTGCTCCTTCGTTTTCCGGGCCTGTCCGGCCTAGCGCCCGGGGCCACCAGTCGGGTGGCTCTGAAGGGGGCGCCATCTCCTTCCTGCCGCAGCTCATGGCGATCCTCCTTGCGATTGAGCCGCCCCCTGCGGACCGCTTCGTTGAGTTCACTGCCAACTTTGAGGCGCGTCTCAAGGGGATCCTGCAGCAGGCCGATGCGGCTACGGTCAAGCGGGCTCTTCATACATGGCAGGAGTTACAAGTGGTGCTCACTTCGTCAGGGGACACCCGGCCTGATAAGCACCTGCTGGCTACCTTTTTTCGCCAACATGCAGCGCCCGCTCGGGCTTTCACATCACTGGGTTGGCTGGTCCGCAACCTGCGCCTCCCCTTTGACATGACCGAGGTTACAAAGCCGCGCTCCGGGCTTGGTGCTGGCCTGGGCCAGGGACAGGCCCAAGCTGCTACGCTTGAACCTTCCATGGTGCTGCACCTTTTGGGCACGTTGGAGTTGACCATTGCTGATCCACAATGGCCCCTGATATTCTGTACATATGCGATGTGCTTCGGAGTCGTCCGCTTCACGCACCTTCAACGCAGCTACCTTGTGGGAGGCAATGGCGGCATCCTTGTCTTTTGGTGCACCAAGGGCAAGACCGGGAGCCGAGGTGGATTTGCATGGAGCGTGCCACGCTACTGTGGCACATTAGATCTTTTCCAGGTCTTCAAAACCACCTCAACAAGGTCCGACCTCATTCAAGACCTGCCTTTCGCCGATGGCATTGGCTTGGGTTCGACTCTGCGACGTGGAGTCACGGTGGCTGACTCGGCATGGCGCCTGCAGAGTCTTTCAATTACATGGTGTCGGTCAGATCACCGATGGCCTGTGCTGGCGGCTCGGGGGTCATCACATACTGTTTTGGTTACGACGACGAAGGGACTGCGCTTGGTTAGCTTGGAGTCCCAGGCACGCCGCCCTCACCGCTGTGGCTGCCAGCCTTGACTGAGACTTCGTGCTGTCTGCCGCTGCCGTCCAGTCTGAGTTCATTTCGGCTGACCGCCGCCCAGCCATCATGTATACCTAGGTTGTGCCTGGTATTGGAGATGGCTGGATTCTTTTCCCGAATTTAATTCCTCATAGCTCTGTCTAGAGCTGTCATCCGCCGCCGTAGGACCGACATTTCGGTATCCTCTCGGTCACAATATGCGGATGGAGTGCTCCCACAGGGAGAGTGTCAGCTGTCAGATGACACATGCGACGTGGTTGCTTTTCAAAACAAAGCACTCAAGTACAGACAGTACAGACCTGAATCGATTTGGAGAAAGGTAGCAGCAGCTGATATCAAGTTGATTGAGTTTCATCGAATATATAATAAAAACCAGCTCATCAGTCAAGTGCACCCTGCACTTTGAATCCCCTGCATGTGGCTAAGTTCTCATCTCACCCAACAAGAATGATCTCCACACACACACACACTCTCAAATGGTCTTCCATGATCTTCCGCAGTTTAGCTGCCAAGCCGCGACACATTTAAAGGAAAGAAGCGATGATGGCGGGCGGCTTTGCCATCATCCCGATGATGATCTGGTCGTCCAGACCTCAGCTGTGATGGGCCGTGGAAGAAGATGAACAGTGGATCGATCAACCGTTGGGATGCTTTCGGAGTTGATCAACCTGTTCTTCCCAATATTGGTCCAAGGTGATGATTTATCATAAGATATCATCAGATTATATACCATTTGTCCCAGGTTTGATGAATCGTTTTATGGCCAAAGCTCGGTCTTGTGCGAATCCAAAGGCCAGGTAGACTCGGATGCAGCGCCAGACTTGCAAAGCTCGTACCATCTTCCCATCCATCGCATGAACCAATATGTTTAGCCAGCATTAGCCAGCCATGTCGTGTTTTAGCCAGCTGAATGTGCAGGGATGTATGTCCAGGGCGTTGCGGCGTGAGCCCGGCGTTACCAAGATTTGTCCAGTTATATTAGTACCCATATGTACCCATCAATGCGCTCAGCTTTTTGTCTTCCACTCACCGTTATTCTCGAACACTGGTGGATTCGTTGAGACGCAGCGAACGGATGTGGATGGAGGTGCTTCTGCAAGATGCTGCCGGTGATCTCACCACGGGCCTACCCGGCAGAGTATCGAATTTGGGCACGAGCACCTGAGCGGGTATGCCGGGACTGCCGGTTTTGGATGGTTTTGGAGGGTCGGATCCTCTAAAGAAGTGTGGCCAAGTGATTTTTGATGTATCCTCCAGGTGTCTGATAGGATCTGCAAAAATGGTTTAAAGCATGTTAAAGCAATCCACCCCTGGTTCCTGTGACGACCTTTTTTCCAGGCCCTTGACCGATTCTTGGATTCACGACTAAGACATACCAGGAGCCTCAAGGGTCCCACTCTGTGCGTCTTGGAGAACATGAGAAACAACGGGAAGCGAGACTGAATGCTTCTTCCGTTTTTTAAAACCAACTCTCAATGTGTTCAGAACATAGATGAGATCCAGTCCACTCCGGAGATGGCACTGAGGCTCTCTACAAGAATCTTGATGAGTCAGTGAGGTTCTCCTCCGTGAAGGCTGCACAGAAATAATATATCACTGGTCTTGAGTCTTGGGGTACACTTTCGACATCCCCTCCCATGCCTCCCCCACTAAATAGCACTACGCCCCCGCCGAACGCTGGAATTATCATAGACATTCTGTATCAAATTTGGCGACTCGATTCGTTTCAGGGATTGTGAAGGTTAGTCCACGTCCATTCTATCTGCTTGATGAAGTTCCACTACATGATACATTTTTTTGTCCGGAGTTTATCAGGCCTGTACTTGGCATTACTAGGCAACTGATATCGACAAATATCATCCAATGGTTTGTGCAAGTTGAGGGACATGCTCCCACACAGAGTTGGACAAAACCCTCGCGAAGCAGCTTTAAAACTTCGAGCCTAAAGTTTGAGTAGAAGCACTTTTCTGGGGATGTTTGCCCTAAACAGTGGCCAGCAGATGGCCATTGTGATCGAGCCAAGAACGAAGCTACTTGAAGTGCTTTATATTATCATGGCCATTGTCGGCCAGGGTGTTACTGCATTGCAGATGTGCACAGATTCCCTTTGTTGATCCATTGTTCCGAAATCGGACTCTCAAGATTAAGGGGATTGTACGGCTGATTCTTATTATGTGCAGATGTGAAATGCTGTGTTTGAATGTGTTTGAGATGTCACAGGGTGCCTGTGCCAAGTCTTACTCAGATTACCGCCATCTATTGCCGTATATGCAAACCTGTATACCAGTTTTCAAGCGATCTGGGTGACATGGGCCCATTCACCCGGCCGCCGTGAGCATTCATGTGGCTCAAAGAACATGCCCTTAGGACCTAGGAGCCTGCAGGTTGTACTCGCTTTGTTGCCGATTCAAACAGTTACCCAGCAACTTCTGGGGATTTCTAGGGTCAATTGTGCTTTTGAACTATCGCCATTTGCTCCTAGCTGCTCCCTGCAGGTGGTCCGAATAAAAGGCGAACGGCCCATCGTCAAGTGCTTGGGCGATGTGCCGCTTGGCCCTCGTGGGACTGTGGAGCCAAGCAGACAAAAAGGGAAAGGAGCAAGGACGCTACTACAGTAGGGGCTCCTGGCCGTACGACTAGGAACAAGAAGCTACTAGGGGCTCCTGGCATCGCTATTAGGAGCAAAGACGCTACTAGGGTTTGGAGAAGTTTCTTTCTTTCTTTTAAGGGGGGTAGTAGCTAGTAGCTAGAGGTAGCTAGTAGTAGCTAGGTAGCTACTTGTAACTGGACACAGGATAACTCACGCTTCTTCAAGGAAAGGCGGCGGGGGAAACTTCCTTGAAGAAGAGCTCGCACTAATGATTTGGTATGTTGATTACTTTTTTATTCTAGGGGTCCTGTGAGTTCATGGAATAATTGCTTCAGAATAATTTTCTGGAATAATTAATAAACTTAGGCAGGGGTAGGTCAAGGGACCCTTGGAATAATTTTCAACAAAACCGACAAAACCTATATTTATAGGATACTAGGTTGGAGGCCATCGCTAGTAGGTTGGAGGCCACCGCTACTAATCCACAATCCACTAAATAGTCTTTAAATGAGTAAATACTCATGCGCAGGCAGTCCTGGTTTCCAGGATCACTAAGGAACACTAAGGATTTTACGTCGAAAGCAGTATAACTAGTCTGCCGAATAGGCAGTGTCCCGAACAGGAACCCTTTTTTCCTCAATTGCTCTTTGCAACAGTCTTGGGGCCTCAGTGAGTGGCGGCTGTGGACAGGATCTCACTACTACTACCATCCACCCAACCACCCATCCACCCATTCAACCACCCAACCATCCAACCATCCAGGCCCCTGGCAGAACTGAACCCCCCCGGAATAATTTCATCTTGTTGGGGAGATAGGACGGCAGTAGGGCAAATACAAGTAAGGCTTCTGGTCTACTGTTGGAAAGCTCAATGTCGATGCTTGGTTGCTTTGCCACACCTTTTCTGCCTTGTATCCAGGGGCTGGGGTTCAGACGCTTGAAAGCTTCAAGACTTTACTGCATGGGCCAAAAAATAGTGCTTTACCGAGCTGAATTCACAGAGTAAGAGAGAGACTGCCAGAAAAACGAAGAAGATATGTAAAGACAACACATGATGACATGCGGCCTTGAGGAGGGTTCCGTGGCAATATCCATTAATTATTCCAGCAACTCAAGCACCCCAGGAATAACTTTCAGGAAACGATGTGCAGGGTAGTCAGAATATGTTTTTAATGATTCCTGGGGGGGTTGAGAGGGGTCCTACTAAATAATCCCACATGATTTGGTTCCTAGATTTTTAGGGAAACTTAGGATGTTCATCTGGGGAAGCATTGGACCAAACAAGCAGGCTCAGTGCATAGGATGTTCACGTTCATCTACCTTTTTCCTGTAGACCGTTGAAAAGAGGATCCTTTATAATGCCTTGTTCTTGCATGAACAGGTGTCTCAACCCATTCACCTGCCTGGAATCTTCCACCCGCGAAACCTTGAGAAGTCCACCACTCGCCTGAGGCAAGATATCCACAAGGGCTTGGCCGTGCTGCGGATTGGCAAAAACTGCAGTTGCTGTCTGAAGGAATACGAACCTGAGGACTGAAGTGGGGAATCGGGTGGCGATGCAAACTACAGGCTGACAGAAGCCGGTTGTTCCATCGGATGCGTGGTTTACATCCGAAGAGGATTGGTATTTTGGATCTTTGTTGCTTGGAATGCAATTGTATGCGGGCCATGCTGTTTTGTTCTCTCAAGACTGCCTGCTGGGTTTGGTGGTGCGAGCAAACATGTTGTGAATGGGCTGCAAGAAGCAAAACAATGGAATAGACCAATAGTTGCAAAAAAAACTGCTGCACCGTTCAGAAATGCGGCATTCCAAGTGCAACAGGATGACGTCGCCGTGATTCTTTGTGGACATTTGTACTGTGAACAATGCCTGGCAGAATGGGTATGCTCTGGCAAAAAAGCAGGGTCCATGTGCCCAATCTGTCGTTTCTTGGCAGCAAGATTGGCAGTGTTTTTAGTCTGATGAGTTTATGCCATGCCGCCTGCAGTTGTACTCTATGGCTTTTGTGCAGGTATAAAGCAGGTACAGTGTTCAATGCCCATGAATGATTCTAGAGACATGTTTGTGTACTCAGTCCTTTCGGATCTTCTACTCGTACTTCTTTTGGATCTTCATCTCTATAGTTTCCACTCCGCAGAGTTTGCTCCCGTCGTGGCACCCAACCAGCCCTGGCTTCATCTCAAGGGCGACAGACTCTGCGACAGTTGCAAATCGGTTCTGAAAGTCGCGTGAAGGTCTCAGCTCCACGTCACCGTCGGAACGTCCAACACGTCAAGTAGAAGAACGTCCAACACTTCGTTTCCCTTCGGAACGTCCAACACGTCACCACGTCTGCATCGACCGAGGATTTGATTTCACCTTGGAGAGCATCGACCCATCAAAGATCGACTCCTGAAGCGTCCAGGAGAGTGTTTTGGGTCGAGAGTAACTGTGGACCGCTTTTTTCCACCACCAAGGAGCCCTGCTAAGGGCCCGAAAAAGGATTCACAGGCATGGGGCTTTCAAATCTTCAACCAAATACCAAGTCACTAGGAGGATATGTTGAGGTTGGAGGCCATCGCTACTAGGTTGGAGGCCATCGTTACTAGGTTGGAGGCTATCGCTAGTAGGTTGGAGGCCATCGCTATTGGGGTGGACGCCATGGCTACTAGGTTGGAGGCCATCGCTAGTAGGGTCGAAGCCATCGCTACTAGGCTGGAGGCTATCGTTATTAGGGTGGTGGCCATCGCTACTAGGTTGGAGGCCAACTAAGAGAATATTATGGTCCCAGTTTTTGGAGCCTATAAGTACAGGCTCTCCTGTGCTCCCGAAATGACGATGGTGGGTGGAAATGACGATGGTGGGTGGATTTGGGTGCCGGGTGGTGTATGGCCTTCCTTTTCAACCAAATCTTGTCATCATTTGCATGTTCTTTTGGTCCTTGCCTTCAACTTGGGCCTTCAACTGCTTTGGATCAAAGAGTCTTCACCACTCCATACAATGGAGGCTTGGTGAGCTTCGAGCCCAACCTTATCTTGTGAAAGAACATGAAATAACACATACAACCTCCCTCAAGCTACAACCCAGCCATTTCTGCATCGCAGTTTTGGTACAGGCTGTAGGTACAGTATCGTAATGTATAGTATAGTATAGTCTAGTATATAGTATAGTTATCTCTACAATAATCTATGTTTTATATATTGCGTTTGTCAACCCAATACATTCTGACATGGTGTCACTGGGGTAGCAGGTATTAGTTTCATACTTTCCTAGAGGAAAAGTAGATTCTAGATCATTGTGTTTGCAAAGTTCAAATGGTAGCTGTAGGCAGTTTGTATTTGTCACATACTACCATTTTCGAGAGAACCAGAAGTCCAAAGAAAGGCGTTCTTCAAAAGACCTTCCAAAGAAACGCTTCGAAAAGGGTTAGAGACTGCGAAGGCCTTTGGACACTGTTGCTTTTTCAGGAGGGCGAGCTGGCGAGCTGGGGCACAGCTTGTGGCGAGCTGGGGAGCCAATCCGCTGTGACTCCGTCGGGATGCCTCTCTGGTGATGTTTTTTCGCGATGCCATCAGTGGAAGAAGTGAAAAGTGAATTCAGGTGACCGGTGATTGCATGGTCCGCAACGCATCTCTTCACTGTATACTTGTTGCTTTTCACCACTACGGGTCCTTCCAAACTGATGCTGAACGCTGAACATGAAGCAACACAATAGATTGTTTACTCCTGGCAAAAATTGAGCAAGAGGCCCACGAGTCACTTGAAGGTCATGACTTGAGCTTCAAAGACTTGAGCTTGACTGACTGTTAGTGCCAACTAGTGAGTCGCACTCTCTGAGAAGGTAATACCTGGTTGATCAAGGCCGTAATCCTTCGGCTCTGTACACCCCAGACAACAAACTTGCTGACTGTTCGCTGGCTTAAGCTTGAGCACTAGAAATATCTTCTGGCCAAACAACTTATACTAGCAGGATGAACGCTAGTCAAGTCCATCATTACTATTGCTCGTGTTAATTTGGATTTCCAACTTCTCGGATGATCTCCACCAGTCCTGCGACGCACGTGATAGCACCTGCGCGATCAAGTCGCGCGGAGCGTCGCTTTTTAACTTGGACTTGGCTTCGAAACCCACCTGGGGTGGGTACACTCAAGCTCACTAACATCTATATCGAAAACTGTCTCATCTAAGCCCACTTGAGTGCTTGACATATGAAGCTATATAAGTCCAAGAAAAACATACATGTCCTGGATCTTCAATGAGCCTTTCAGTGCCAGGGCTGCTGCATTCGATGCTAGGGTGCTGTCCAGAATAGATGACTGTTCTAGACTGTTCGACTGTTTCCTGCCAAGACCATACCTGTGTCTACAACACAGCGCGATTTGCAGAATGGAGAACTGGACACCATTACGTTTGAACAACTACATATTTGATTCGGGACCTTTCTGTATTGAATCTTCGTTGATGCTCTTGTTCAGGGGTGAAGTCAGCTGCATGCCACGTCGCTTTTAAGGAATTTCGAATTAGGGAATCAGGTAATCGCCATGTTTCCATCTGACTTTTTGTGCCAAACTCAGAATCTCAACTTGGAGAATTCGCAGTTGGTTCATGTACATTGTTGACGGTACAAACGTGCCATTCCATGTTCAAGAGCTTGGCGTTGCAACTTGTCCGTGAATTATGTTATATACCTGACCTGTTCTGCAACACTTTGGGCATGCGAATTGAGCCCGAAACCTGTGCAGCACATTCCTTTTGGAACCGCTTAATTTCGATCATCCATCACATATGCCCTGTGACATTCCAAGGATCTCAAGGAAGATTCAGGTCTCTCAAGTCTGCCATGTTTGATTGCAGATTTGTAAAGCAGTCCTTGGATGCCCAACTCGAATTCCCCTGTAACAATCCTGCCAGCCAGTCACTGCTGGACTTGACTTCAGCGAACTGAGTCCCCCGTTTTTGAGACGATATTGGAGACTACTCTAGGCCTGTTTTGACCTGTCCTGTTGTTTTGACGTTTCACTGGAGGTTCTCCGTTTCGCGAGGATGACAGGCAAAACAACAGAGCTAGCAGAGCCAGACTGCAGGGTTGACAGCTTTTCATAGCTTTCCTATTGTGTATATATTTATATGATTTATTTCGTGCTTTTATTACATACATTTAAAGACCCTTACTGCACTGCAACTGGCTGGGAATTTGCTACTCATTCCACAATGGAGGGTATTCCTAAGTTGCCTTGAATTATGCTGGCCTGCTGGTATGGGTGAGTGGCCTCCGTCCACCTTCCGACTGGGTCGCAGGTCAACGACTGTTAGTAGTAAGAATCTGGTTCGTCAGTGTCAAAGGATGGTCTCCATTTGGTTGTGGGACGAGAATACCATCCAAACCCAGCTGACAAAATAAATAACACCTGTTGGAGCCTGGGTCTTACTGATGGGAAAGACCACGGCTTCGGACCGCCCAAGAATCGGACGTGCCGTGCAGGCCCTACTTCTTCGTTCAAGTGAGGAGAAGTGGCTCAGGCAGCTTTTTCGGTCGACCGGTGAGAGCGGGTGGTGTTTTGATGCGGTCGGTTTCCGAGTTGCTGCTAGGATGTGCTACGATGTTCCCGGGATGCAAAACTGGTATACAAAGACTTGAGGAGCATCACTTGACCATCACTTGACGGACATCACTTGAGGAGGCTCCGCGGTTCCTTCGTCCAATTCTGCGGAGGTCTACAGACGATGCGAGACATCCTGGCACAGCGATTCGAAGCGGAGGCTTTGCCGCGATTTGAAGCGAAAGCATCAGTGTCCCACTGTCCCCGTCCCTTCGCAAGCAAAGGCCCCCTCTTTCATGACTCTAGTAGCAACAACCTAGTAAATATGATACGCATATATGTATGTATAGCTGTTCCTGCTGCTGCTCATGCTCCGGCTCCTTCTTCTGCTGCCACTGCTGCTGACAATATATACTCATAAACACAATATCAGTTCTCATATTCAAGATATTCTAACGCCAACAATACATTCAATACATGTGCTTTGCTTCGACAGCTAATAAACACCAGTGCCAATGCCATAATCTACTATCCGTTTGTCAAGGCACCGCCCACCCCAGCAAAAATCCGAAGTGACAGTGACAAAACAGACCATGAAGAAGGTGACTTGGGGACATGCACACATGTTTCTTTCTTAAATTAAACCCGTACCGTAGCTTCCTTTCTTCAACGTAACTTCGCGTAAAGCTATGCGGCAGTTCTAGCCCAACATGCACCAACCAAAGTTTGGAACATCTCAGGCAGATTGCTGGACGTAGAGCACATCCTCTATTTGTAGCTATTTGTGGAAATTCTCAGGCTCAGTTCCAAACAGCTCTCCTGGACTTTACTGTGCATGCAAGATTCTGAAATGGTACAGTATTGGAATAGGGAAGACCGTGGCTTTAGCAACACTTTTGTTAGCAGCAGGAGCTTTTGTGGGTCTCCATATCCTAGTACACATAAATGTGAGTGTTTGACCATGGATTGGATTGGCTTGGCCGCCTGCAGGGTGCAATTGCCACTATAGAGGAGAAGGAGGACTTGGCATTAGAGGAGCGGTCGGATGATTCAGTTCGTGTCTTCACATGCGGACATCCCTCCTGGGTGGCACATGTTCTGCTTTCTGGTTGCGAGGGGTCCCCAAAAGTCGTTGAAACAAAGGCAGTGGGCACATTGTGCGACATTGTCAGCTGCGTTTCATTCTTCGTTGCCAACTGAAACAGAAATGAGACACGGGGATCAAGATCACGCTCCCGCATCCACAATGTGGGCATGGGATCGGGGACATGCCACTAGAATCTGGGAATCCAGGGTTTTGTTACAGTAGTGTTAAGAATCTCATTCATATGAAGCATATGGGGCTTCCTGTTCTCAAAGGGATGTTTCTTGATGCAGCCCCGTGCCCTTTTGTTCACCACAGACCCATGACGAAGGAAGCTCAAGAAAATGAGACTCTGTGGCAACTGGATGCTGGTGTCCAACAAACATGACCGTACCAACTGGGCGCATGGCCGCTGGCCGCCGGGTGTTGTCGAGGACCACATCGCTGGCAAACACCGGAGCCTCATCAAGTTGTCCTTTCAAAGCACCGAAGGCCTCAACAAGGTGGGCCAAAGATTTTTTGGTTGGTTGCTTTGGGCGGAGAGACAGAGGAGGATCCTGACCTGACATTGGAATCCAACATGAAACATTGTGCAACCAATTATATGATCCTATTGGAAGCTAGAATATATGGTTTGGCTTGGGAACAGTTACTTAGCCTAGTCTGCCTGAAGGATCGTCAGGGTAAGCTATGGGCACGACAGAGTCCATGCCTAGCTGCAGTGGCAAGCCAGATGCTGCAAAAGACGAGATCACTCCATCGACTTGACAATTGCTGTATTGCTTCACACCAATCATCAGGTTTCTATGACCCTCCGCCTCACTAACCTGGAAGTGGAAAACATACCCTTGGATGACGATTTTCCTTCACGAACAGGGTGGTTTCCACTTCCATTTTAGTGAGTCGAATGTTCAGTGTGTCGTGGGTGTTGCAGGGTGCCGTCCAGCAGCCAGCAGTGCCTGTTTGGCTTGGCAGGCTCGCATGAACCTGCTGCAAGAGATGCGTGGCAAGAGGAGATGCCTGCCCCCAGCTTTGCGCTCTTCACAACCGGACTTGGTTCACAGGGTTCTGACAGTCGCTGGTCTCCTGCAAAGCCTTATTAGATGTATACTTGCAGAATCTTGCGGATGATTTGTATTTGCAGTGATGCAACCCTAGGGAGGCAGGACTTTCGTGTTTGATCGTGTTTGTGTTTTTGCTATATTATATAGTAGAGTTGCAACAGTGTTCAAATTTCAGATACCATTGTAATCATCGAATGATGCTAATATCACTTACATCCAACGTGAGGCAAAGGGAAGACATGAATTTGCCGTCCCCCTCGGCCATTTCGGTTCCAGAGCAGATTTGTCCGTTTTTCGGCCTTGCATGGATGCCCAGCTGGGGTTATTCGGATCTCCTGGGAACCCGCTGGGGAAACATTGATTGAGATCCATTGGTTGAAGTTGGGATGGTGTCCCTAGTTCAGTATATACATATGTACACATTTAACTACACGTTCTATTTGTTTGGTTTGAACTCCATGTATTTTTTTTCATGTTTGTGTTTTTCAATGGCAAGATCGAGTTCGGATGGCGGGTGGCTTTGCATCAAAAAGGGGTCGTAGGTCGGTCCTTCCAACCTCACGTTCCAGTCAAAGGTCGGACAGGTCGGTGTGTCCATGTGAAGAAGAACCAGAACACAAAAGATCCAAAAGACTTGGGTAGTGCAAACTTGATCCGAACTCCAAGACCTTTCAGACTCAAAGACGAAAGGGATGCTCCAATGAGCAGGCAGTTGACAGTTGAGACATGAAAACAATCTCAACCGGAGATTCGGGAACATCTCCAAGGGGTGTTTTTTCGTGAACAGTCTACGCTTTTGATGGATACGCTCTTGATGCATGGCGTTTTGTTGGAGCGGCCCCCTCCAACGGTTTCACCGGCCGATCCAGCCCCATCGATCTCGGAAGTGGGACAAACCTGAAAACCAGATATAAGAGGAATTGTTGAGATGATATGGATATGTATCTATGTATTATATATATACCTGTATGCAGTGGGCTTTGAAGCCGGGACAAGCACAGGTCCTCATTGGCCGCTGTTGCCAGTGCCCAACTCCCGCCAGGGGGTCCCAACTAGCCATGCCTGGAACCAATTGCCAAAAAGCGATCCAGTGCGCCTGGCCTGTCTTAGTGAGACATCATCAAGCATCATCAAGATGTTGGGTTGATATTCATCGTCTTGTTCAAACAAAAGCAGTCCAAGTTTTTAAAAACTCTCTCAGATATTTGCCAGGCTTTGGTCAGAGAAGAATGGGGGCGCCAATCCGGAAGAAGCAGCACCTCGCTTGCAAAGGGATTCACCATTTTTGTCAACAGCCAAAGTACTCGGAGGCTTGCAAAAGGGTGTTCAACTACCATGTTTGTATTCACAGAACTTTGTTTTGGAGTAGTTGGGAGAAGGGGAACATTTTGGCTGTTTCTTTTGGCTTTGACAGGAAAAGGCGCAAACAGGTAACTACGATTGCGACCCTGAAGGAATCAATAACATGCAGTATAGACATTGGGACATGTTTTAGGCATTTAATTTCTTTTTAAAACATAGGCGGCCGATTGTGTTTGTCATAGATATCTCATAATTATAATTAGCTCTTCAAATGATCATGGAGGGCCAGTTGCAGTTGGAGCAACTTAGAACGACGAGTCAATTAAAACACGGCCCCGTGAGAGTATTCAATGTCGGTGGCAGATTCTCTTACCTTGTGCGGTTCTGCGAACCTGGATAAGTGCGCAGCACGCATGTCCCAAATACTTCCTCCTCAAGTTTGACATGCCCTCACTTACTCCTTATGCATGCTTACACCGTACACCCATGTAAACCTTTAACAAAATAGCACCAGGACCATGCTGGTAGAGGAAGGCCATCATTCATGGTTGACCAAATGTAATGCTTGGTTTGAACAGACAGCTGAAAGATCTGCAAGCTCTTACGCTCAACCACTAGCAGTGCCTGCTCAAACGCACCATCCGATGGCAGGACGTGGTGAAGCTTCTATGCTGGGAGCCTCAAAAAAGGTTTTGAGGATGCGGTGTAAGCAGTGTAATCAGGCCCTATAGAAGGCAGAATGGGCCCACGAAGTGTCTGAAAGCATAACGTTATATACATGAGTTACAAGGCCTATCTTAGGCTATCGGTGGTTATTCGAGCACACTCGGGAACAACTGGAACGCAGTTTGCCGGTTTGCCTCAGTAACAGTAGGTGGAAATGAGCATTTGGCCGTATTTGAAGTGACATGCCAAAGGAACATGTGTTTTGCATGTGAACCGAGAGCATGTCATGGGTTCAATTTCACGCAGTGCTCTACAAGTTCACTGCTCTACAGGAACATGTGTTTATGCATCGACAGCTCAGTCTGCTTCGTCGCATGCGACAGCTGAGGCATGAGCCCACCCATTGAGAAGATGGACTCCTCGCTGAATCAGCTCGTCAACGTGAGGCGTCCTCCGTGTCCGACCACGTCAGCGCGGCGCGATGGCCGCCGGGTCCAAACGGGTGAAACGTCGGTATCCTCGTGCAACTCGCGCTTCAGAGACAGACACAAAAAGCCGAGGGTCATGGCGTTGCCCTGGTTTTTTGGACTTTGTTTGTAGTTCTGAAGGGATTTACATGGATTTACAACATGAGTGACATATCTCCTTTAGCATCTCTTTGCCTGTGGAGTTTGTAATTACTCTTTGTGGTGTGTCAGAGGGTCGTGAAGATGGGAGCTGGCAACGTACTGAAACAATGCACTGGGATGCACGTCGCATTTCGATGTATTTCGATGTATTTCCTATGCATGGAGCGATCTGCATTGCATCTACCAGTCAGGATGCTGAAGGATGCTGAAAGTAAAGCACCAAAGGTCATCCTAGCGTATCTTCCGTTTTTTGTTTGACATCCGGGGCTCCTCAAAGATGTTTGAGCATGCTTGATGCTGATAGGATATCCCTACTACAAGGGACTACGGACTAATACTTGAACTAGCCTTTTTGGATATTTCATGATATTTCTGAAATGGACACCACACAGCAATCACTGACTTCTGTGTTGTTTGCGTTGCAAACCCAAGACCAACTCTAGAAACGCAGACAAGATGGTTTCCAGGCATTTGTCCTTGTCGACCAACTGCATCGACAAGATGATCTCCTTGCCGGCCCTGAAGAACATTGAGGTCCTCGAGCCCTTTAACGACAGTCGTTGCATGGGGAACGCAGGTATGGATGTTCTTGGGCCAATGATTCGTTGTTTCGGTGGTTTCATGCTGGTTGGACTTGTTGGGTTTGGGTGTTGGGAAATAGAGTCTGAGTTCCTGCGAAAGGGCGTCGTCCTAGGAATCTGGTCTGGGGCGCGATGAATGGCCCAGGGGAAAGAGAGAACGGGATCTTCACACTTGTCGATCCAAGTCTTATGTAGTTGTCTTTTGCGTATGTTTTGGCCATTTTCCGAATACTGTAATTAGCTGGTTGAATGTGTCACAGTCTTTGTTTCTGGTGTTTACGCAGAAGGGTTTTGGCGTAGCATCCTTCTTTTGCCACAGCAGTTGATCCGATTTGTCCCTGCAGATGTTCTGCAGGTGCTGTCACTGGGCCGAAACCTCATCAAGAAGATCTCAGGATTAGAGGAGATTGGCTCCACTCTCAAGTCACTCATTGCATGTTTGAAGGGCCAAGCAGGGGGGCTTCTTTTCTTTTGTTCGGAGCACACAATCCCCTCAACAATTTATCAATCAGACGCCAAAGCAAAGCAATCAACAACTCGTAAATTCCGTGAAGGGATGGGTTGTGCTTTGTGGTTGTGGTCGTTTTGGAGCCGTTCCGAACGGTACTACACAAGTGACTGAATAAAGACAAAGTCTCACTCAATTGCAACCCTTTTCAACGATTCTGGCCAAAATTCTCGCTGAAACGACAATCATCCAAGAGCTTGCTCCTCGCAGTGTAGCGAAGTCAACGATCTTTTTGTGTTGGTGTTGGTTCAGCGGTCTTCCCAAGAGAGTTCCAGTCCGATTTGGCTGAATCCTGTCACATGGAATCCCTGTCACATGGAATCACGGTCAAACCTATTGGTATTTGGACTTCCTTTTGGGCATGATGTGTCATACACCAAAACTATAGTTACAGTTGTCAAACCTTGTACTGACTCAAACAGAGTAGTCCATCAAGCCATGTCCATCAGATGCCATTTGTGACAGGGAGCTTTGGATCTCCTACAATCAGATCTCAACCTTGGATGGCTTAGCACCTTGCGCTGGGGGCCCAGACCAACCTTTCCCACCCATTCGAATGGCCTCCCTGAGAAACACCTCTCGGCCGCGGCCCACGATTTTTGGGTGCACCTTGTTTTAAGCACATGTGAATCTGTATAAAACAGGTGTGATTCCTCTACTCAAGAAAAGCTCCAAAGTGTGGCTGCCCCCCAGGGGTTTCTTTGAGACGTTGTCGTCTCACAAACTGGGATGATGCAGCAAGTAGACGAAGTAAGAAGTAAGCCTCAAGCAAGTCGACAGAAAGAGATACTTATTCAAGAAGTTTCGTCATTGAAGTATAGCTCAATAGGCTCGTAGGCGACAGTTTTTATTTCCCTGGCCATTGAAGTGTAGCATACATGCAAAACCTTCGAATGTCCGGAGGCCAATGCGTGGCAAAGCTGCGTGTCTATGTATATATCTTGAATTGGGTTTACTTGCAGTAGCAATCAAAAGATGCAAGCATCATCCCCGGCCTGGTGCTGGGGGTTGGATTGGATCGGCTGGACCCTTTGCACGGAGGTGGTTTGATTGGGGTGTTGGACTGTGTTGGACTCCAGGTGAAACTCACCACACTCTTCATCTCGAACAACAAGATCAAGGCTGGGCTCGGCAGCAGACGTGCATCTCTTTGTTAAAAAACGACGGAGGAGCATTTTTCTCTCAGGAACTTCTTAAGACACAGTTGGATACCAATTTGGCTTCGACGCAGGAGAAAGACATAGAAAGGATTTACAGATTGATCCGCAACTACCTCTCCTAGGCCTTTTGACCCTTCTAATAGCGATGGCCTCTAACCTACTTGCTTTCCTTCCTTTTTACTATTTTGCTGTTCGATGCGCAACTATCTCTCCTGCCTATCATGCAGGACTGGCCCGAGCTCGACAAGCTCCAGGCCAACCAGGAGCCGCCCGAATGGCGCCATTCTCGCACGGGCGGCCGGGGTCGAGCAGGCTGTAGTCCAACTGCGGCAGTCATGTCGGCGAGCCGAGAGAGCCAGAGAGATAGAGAGTTCATGAGAGTCCAATGCTTTGCAAACTTCTGCAGGCAAGCAAATTGGGCATATAGGTCCACGTATGGTTATTGCTTTTCCTTATCTTGGTAGGCAAATGTTTGTATTCTTATCAAAGGCCAGGCGGCCTTTTTTTGAAAACTCACTTCAGACAAAAGGTCACACCTTTTTAAACCTTTTTGTTCTCAAGAACACTGGTACTGTATGTATATATATATATATGCGATTTGAAAGGCAGTGAACTCACAGGGGCAGCTCCATGACAGTTGACCAGGGCAGCACATCCCAAACTGTTCGATTCTTCGACAGGATTTGGTGAACGTGCTCTTCTATGGCAATCCGATTTATGAAGGCCAGAGAAAAGACAGACCATCTCTTCGCATAGGCTACAGACTGCATGTGTTTGTCAAGCTGCTTGACCAGGCATGATTTTACATGTGTTCTTTTGCCTGAGCGCATTGCTACGATGCTAAGCTCAGGGTGTTGTAAGATGGGGGCCAAGATGCTGTAAGGATTCCAGCTCAGACCGACCTGCACACCTTTTTTGAAAAGACTTCTCCTTAGAATCTGTTGGGAATCACTTGCAACTGTCCTAGTAGGGAAGAACAGCACAACTCCAGCTGAGATGAACGCCAAAGGTTTTAGCATGGACATTGACAGAGTACGCTTTTGCATTTTTGCTCAGGTCACACAACATGATTCTGGTTGAGTCATTCCAGGGCTGGGGGGCATCAATGTACAGTTGTTTGATATGACCATCCAGAGACAACATTTTCTGCTGTTCAGGTTTGTCCAAGAAGCAGGCCCGACCGAAGGCCTGGGATGGGACCGACTTGATTCGTGTGAAGGACAAGGGTAACCATGTGGCACTTCCTATGTTTGTCAGCTCATATAGTATGACTGGACTTGGTGTCTTTGCATTTGACGTGTTGAGAGGCTTGGCTTGAAGGCGTAAATGGAGCTTCAGTTCCAAAAAAGACCAAGTCTTGCATGTTTCAACCAGCAGGTGTGGGCCTTGGCCTGTGACATGTGACATGTGCCCCTCCCCTCTGAGACGGTAATTCTTCGGTCCCCTCATTGGCACGTTCACGTTTTTGCATGCGCCATGTGGCAGGTCCTGGAGCATTTGCCGAAGATTGCCACCTTGGACGGCGAGCTCCTCACCGGCGATGATGACGATGGGGCCGGGGCGCCACCACGGGACCGGACGGGAGAGAAGCGACGGAGGTCGAGTTAGCGCGGCATTGGCAAGGACGGAGTGGACCACGAGGTCGTTTGTGGGGTGTGGAACACCGGTGAATGAAGCTCTGGTGAATTGCTTGATGCTTTTTTTCTCAGGGGACGCCAAAGTATATTTGGATCATTTTGGATCATGGATGATGATTGCTTGATCTAAATAATGCACAGAGAGACCATGCACGGCAAATCACGCTTAGGGTCTGAATTTGTTAACTTCTCTTGACCCCGATAAAGAATGATAAAGATACGCAAGATTGTAGCTGAAGTCGCTCTTCTGCAGGGGGAGGAAGCTGCGGAGTGAGGAGTGGCCAGCTTATGGGATATGGACACCGGATGTGGAGTTGAGTGTGACGTTACGGACGTTCCTCGACTCTCCACATTTGGGGGATCCGTCTACAAAAAGATGCAAAGGAATGGAAAGGAATCAAACGCTTAAGTCCACGGGGATGGCTTGGGAAGACAGGTTGTCTCCATCAGATCCTGTGTTTGTTTAAGTGACATGTGTGACAATTTGATTCTGCTGTAGGCACGGAACATGGCCCGAGTTTCTTTGAAAAGAGGTTGTAGGTATTCAGAATTGGTCTTCTATCCCAATGAGCCCCTCAAAGATTTTCCAGGCGCGACCGAGCTACTATGCATGTTATTTGGATCTTGTTAGAACGAGTGAGCGTCGAGAGCTGAGAGATTCTTTTTGCCAGGAGGTTTCATGCCGCGATCGGGGCCCACTGACTGTGCATATTGAGGATATGGCGGTCAAGTGGGCATGTGCCATTCCACAGTACCTAATTGCAGTACAGTTGCACTGTGAACCTTGAGCGAGTCTTCAATGTTGACCGGATAAAACTACTGTGTAGGAAAGGTCGTCCTTGACATGTCTGCCATGCCACGCACTTGGACAGATTCCCGCCAAAGGAAGGTAGGCATGTTCAATGCGATTGTAAAAGCCTGAATGAATTCAGTGCTGTTTCACAGAATGCTCAACTTGCGACTGGTGATTTGCATGCGCGAACCCGCAAGAAATCAGATAGGGCTAGGGGTTCTCTAGGTGACCCTGGGGCCATAGTAATGGAACAGCTGTAGTTGTCGTCTGCTACAGCTCAGCTGCGAACGTGGGCCTGCACAGCTGCGAACGTGTTTTTGGAGAGGTTTCTGTGGTGCTTCCGGTAGTGATGGCAGGTGATCATTAGAGGGCCGATGGTTCATTGCTTGTGATTGCTCATCCGCCAAGCAGCACTGCGTCCACTGCCAAAGCTGCTGTGGGAGCGGCTGCCATGAACAACCTTTGGTTGCGGGGATGTAGAGTCACATAGTTACTTGTGATTGTTTGCCAGCCAATATTAGGTCTTTGCTTCTGCTACCATGTTCTTCCACCTATGACTCAGGACAGCCTTCCTACTACTTATTTCTTGCTAGTAACTACCAGACTTTCAGACTACCTGTACAGTAACTTGATGTAGCTTGTGTTGTGTGCTTCTTCCCTTGTTTGCCCACAAGCTATCAACACTCGAGTCACGCGCCATGTGATGCCACGGACTCCTCGGAAGCCCAAGACAAAAGGCTGGATAGAAACTCTATCCTCTAGTCGCGTCCTTGCTCCTAGTAGTAAGGCCAGGAGCCCCTAGTAGCTTCTTGCTCCTACTAGTAAGGCCAGGAGCCCCTAGTAGCTTCTTGTTACAGCTATGGCATCCTTTTTGGCCGTCTAACTTACGGGGCAAGATCTAGATATTGGTGTGTATTGGAACATGCACTGTACTAACTCTAACTAATAGGTTTTGTAAATTTTTGTAATGTTTTTGTTGCTTCCTTTGTTTCTGAAAGGGGAAAACGCGCAACAGTGTGTAAAACAGTTCTATTTTGTTGTATTTTAATAATATTTGGATTGTTCTATAGAGCCGCGAGTATCGAGCACTAGCACGTTGAACGTAACATAACAGTATATATGCTGGATTTATAGATGAAGGACCGAAGCAGCATCTTGGCAGACCCTCTATGGACATGAGACCTACTCTGCCTACTCCAATTTTGACGGATTGAAGATGATTGAAGACTTCGTTTCAGCACCCATCCCAATAGGAGACTCACTCGGATTTTTGTGAGTAGGTTCACTGTGATGAAGTCTTGGACACCTGAAGAACTCGAGTCAAGATTGTGAGTTGGCCAGAGGTCGTTTGTTTCGTGGTTCTTCACTCTTGAGGACTGTAAACGAGATAACATCACATGGCAGGTGGTGCAATACCCATCAATCCGCCCTTCCTTGTCAGAGTTACACCAAGTCTTTTGCCAAGCACCACGTTTTTGGGCCTTCCCGTCATCTAACCGTAGCACACCATGGTTATATAGATTGGCTGGTATTTCCGCTGGGTTTCTAATTGGTGGAGCCCGTTCCGAATCACCTGGAGGGCCCAGCAGAAGTTCGTCGTCCAGAGCCGATGGCCGACGAGAGGACGATGAGCCACCGCAATGTGGCAGCACAGTGGACAGGGAACAATCCGAAGAAATCACCCGGGGAAACGGAATGCGATGAGTGCAATGGCAAAGGGAAGGGATCAGGGATGACTAGTTGCTGGTTGACATTTTGTTGACTAGAAGATAACGATCAGAATGATTGCAGTACGTACTCTAGATAGGGCACTTTACGAAGATGACTTTAGCCTCATCTAGCCTCAGTTCTTGCAGACTGACAGCATGTTTGGTTCGCCATTCTCATATGAAAGCACCATGTCAGAGCTTTGTTAGATTATGTTAACTACAGTCAGTGGTGGTCAGTAAGTCTACAAACTCCGATTGTTCGCCTTAGGCCTTCTCGATGAGCGAAGAAACCACTGACGACTGATCATGGGCCTCCAAACCTACTAGCGATGGCCTCCAACCTTCTAATAATACAATATATCATATACATACTACATTATAATACATATTACATGCATACATATAATATATATATATATACATATAATTCTGGGGAGATTGCTTGTGTGACATTTGTGTCTCACAGACGATTCACCCAGCAATTCACCAAGCAGCTCGCTTCCGTATCTTCCGTTGCCCTCCTCAGTGCACCTCGCCGCTCGCTGAGGTCGGTGATCTCCCTGCCGTGCTACGACGATGACGGAGTCTATCTAGGCCGAAGAAGGGTGGGAAAGCCAACGGGAGCCGAAGGTTCTGCGAAATAAAGACTATCCAAATCCAATCATGAACCAGTGGTCAAAGATTAGCAGAGCTTGCAAAGCCAACAGGTACCTTGAATATGTGCATCGTTGCCTGGTAGACTCTCCAGTCTCACCAAAAACCCTTCAGCCCAAGACCGGGTCCCGGTCTGACCAGGCCCTGCGATCTACGGCACGGCGAAGACCTTCGCCGCCCCTGCGGCGCGGAGCATGCGGAAGCGCTTGCGGCGGGGAGCTTTGAAGGGGAAGACGGAGGCCTGGCGGTGAAAGCACCGACGCCTGGCGCTTTGGGGATAGACACAATTAATTAGACAAGCTGACACACTGTTTTTGGTATAAACCATGTAGTGAGGAAAAGAGGAGTCTGATTTGTTTGCAAACATGAAACATTCAAGTTTCTACAGAAGAAGCAAACTTTATGAGTGGTGGGTTTCCCTTTGATTGGCAGCACCAGCAGGATCTGGATGGCTACCCAGAGAGAGAGGATCCTGGACCAGGCGAGTGAGGAGTGTTCCGGAAAAGCTGCTTTCCACGAAAAGTCATCCATCACAAGAGTCACTCCTCCGTTTATTTGTAATCGAACCACTTCTCCGGCTTAGTCTCATCCATCACAAGGTTTTTTCATTTTTTCGCACCTTACAGTAGCTTGGGGCCAGGTGATGATGCCCCGGTAGCTCGTTTGGGACGCAGCAGCGTGCCGAAGGAGGGCTTGTCCCGCCGCTCGGATGGAGTATGAGATGGAATTTCTCAGAACAAGGAGACCCCCACTGAAACCACCCCACCAAAAACCACTGAAGCCATCTGCAGCCCCTCAGCCACTGAAACTACCAGGAGATGAGTTTGATACACTTCCCTTGCTTCATGAGACCACTCTAACGTCCCCTGCTTTCCACCTATGTACGATCTTTGATGCTTGGGGGTCGTTTCTTTCTCAGTGTCAAAGCATGCATCAAGATGAAGGCGTTCATCATCTCCATCTTCAGTTTCCGACCTGTAGGATGTAGTTGGAGCATCGCTCATGTTGTTGTGTTTTTCTTGTTTTGGAGAAGACGACGACGACAACGACAACTGTATTTGATGCTGCTTTTTGCGATGCTGCAAATGGGGGGGCATCTACGGCATTTGCACTTGCACACGCTTTTGTTGCTCTGGGGCAGATGATTGACATCTACGCTGACGACGACGACGACGATGTATATTATATTTGTTTTGCTTAGAGTTGGAAAAGAGACAGGGTACTGGGCATTGGAGAATGCATCAGAGTGCAGAGGCCTAAATGTTGAATCAGTGTGCCATCAGAACAAGGTTTTCGGGAGACCTCAAGAAGGCATGGATGCAGGGACTCAAGCAAGTGAACGTACTGTACCAGGCTTTGTTGGGTAGAAAGTACCCTGTGAGTGTTCGCACTAATGGACATAGGACGTAGGACCATGGACCCGGAGTTGGAAGAGCTGCTTTTCCAATTTGTCTCTCGCCGCAGAATTCTTCCGTCCACTCCACAGTTTTTCTCGTTGAGACTAAACGAATGCTGAAATCTGGCTGGTTGCCTTGCTGACAAGTCCGTTAGTAGGGGGCGGGCTGCGACGACAGTTGAACCTTTCATTTCCAAGGGAAGCACGAAACGGGCAAACTGCCACTAGAAAGGAGCATGACAAAGATGCAATTTTCAACATAATGAAGAGACTCCTGTGGAGAGGATATCATCATTTGGATCGTTCAATTCATTGAAAGCCGTGGCTTTTGTCCACGGCCGTCTGCACCCGATGGAGCCATGTAGTTTTCGACGTGGCTCAAGATCAGAACTCCCATGGATGGTTGGAATCATCTCACCTTTTTGTCCTGCAGAGTCCAAGGTGAAGACCTCTAATCAGTGCAGCTGCAGGAACCCAAAAGCAATTGAGTTATCAGGGATCACCTGAAATACGGGGTAGAGTCTCAACCCCCCAAACATCACATGTTAAACGTGCAATGTCGGTAGCTCTGGTGTCCCAGCTTGTTTAGAAAACATCTTCGGTTGCGGTATGGAATAGCTACATGCAGTAAAATCTGCATCTCCATTCCTCGGCACATACACGATATATAATATAAATATATATATACATATATACACTGCTTCAGTTTTTCGGCGCTACAACTGTGTGTAATGTTGCGAAGCAACAGATGGGTTGTAAATGGTTGTTAATGGTTATACCCACATCCTGAACCAGACTTAATTCCAAGAGCACATCGGTGTAAGCCTCCGATGCTCAAGTTGTTCAGAGCCTTTGAGTCTATCCAAGGGCGAAGTTCTCCTCCAGCCTTGGCGGTGGTCTCTTGGACGTGCAACGGAAGTCTCACGGTGCTTGTTCAATGCACCTGGGTGGAATGGACAATTGTGTCGGATCTTGATGTTTCATCCTAGGGAAACCGAAGTCAAGGAGTCAAGGGTTTATCAACCTTTGCCACTGCGATCGTGCCCTCGACTTTGGCAATCGCCTCTGAAAATAACAACGCTGCCCTTCACTCTTAGCCTTCCTTGGGGTGCATTGTGCCACTTGCGAATCACTATCAATGAGATTGTGCTTTTGAGTTCCAATCTATGTCAAAGGACATTTTGTCCCGTTCAGTCATGTTATGAATAGCTATGCTTTCTATTATTTGTCCTTTTTGCTCAGATTTGATGTTGCTTGGCTTGCCTGCCGAGGAACCTGTCTTTGGGAATGCACCACAGGTGAGTGGCACATTGGACTTGATGAGTGCATTGGTGCGTTTGCTTACGTCTTTTAGTGTCTGGCGCTATGCACAGATTCAATATGGAGCTTGTCTAGACCTGAATGCTCACATCTCATGGTGTGAAGCCCAAATTGGTTATCCCTGCAGATGGGGCTTTGAGAGGTTACTGTTATAACTTATAACCAGTGAATTCTAAGTTCTTCAGGTTAAGTTAGAATGGTTTGAAGATATGGTTTATTTTATTAAATGTGTAGCTGTTGTCAAACTGTGACAACTGCTCAGGTATATTTTCTGTTGCTATTTGGAATTTACATTCTGCTGTACTGCTCGAAGACTTGAGACACTCATCTGGGGATTCTTTGTTGGTGCAAAATGCCGCCAGGATGTTCCCACAAAGTACTGAAAGCGGTCGAACAATTGGTAACCATGGGTACTGTAACAGTAAGTACTGATGCTTCAAAACTGTTGGCTCGCGGCTAGTTTTAGCCCCTCTTGGCCGCCAGGCTGGGATTTCACTTGCCCAGAACCAGGCAGGATCGGCACATTCAGAGGAGACATTATCAGGGAATCTGCATGGATCCATTGGTATGTAAATGTGAACACAGTGGATCCACTCCCCCACTTCCGGGGTTCTGCTCGGTGGATTTGCTCATCCTTTATCAGCAGGGCATGATGTGTTCTTTTATAAGTGTTTGTACACCAACAGCTACATGTCACGCCGTAGCAGTTCATTACACAGCCAGACTGCAAGCCACGCCAGCAACACCAACAACTTTTCTTACAGCCACAAAGCCAGACTTCCGATTCTCTTTAAGAAAGAAAGACTAGAAGGACCACCGACTTTCTGCTTCCTTCACAGTGGGAGCAGTGGGTGATGTGTTAAAACACCACGGGGGATGCAGCTGAGGTGGAGCTGCCTTCCTTATGCCGCCCTCGCGATATCAACTCGCGGGCAGCCACTCGGCTCCATTTGGGCTTTGGTGGCCGATGCCCGGTCCAATTGGAGATCTGCCTCATAAGCGTGGACTGAGGGGGTTTCAGGGATTACATATATTTATTACAAGGAGGTGGCACTGGAAGTGAAGAACTCCAGCTCCTTGGGCATGAAGGTGAAGGAATTTCAGGTTTTGTAGAATCTCCTCTGCAGTTTGGGGTGTCAGGATATCCTGAAGTATCCATCCTTCTGATGATTGGACCTTCCATCTTCCCCATCTCACGTCCAAAGAAACAACAGTTAGAGCATGTTAGAGTTGTTGAGGTGTCGGTGTTGGCAGATCAGCTCATATGAAGAGCTAGCCAGGGACAAAAGAACCGATGAAGTGCACGTGCTTGCGCCTCCCCCGAGCTGTGAAGGCCCAACAGTAGATGTGGAACAGCTGCAGCCCCGGTGGGCCAAAGCTATTTGGGATCAAACGTGTTGAGTCTTGAGGCTGACACTCGTACAATTCTGTAGCCTTTCATACAGGACACGCTGTGTAATTGCACTTCGACTGCCACATCATGAGAGCTGACGCTAAGGGTTCGCTTCACGCGCGAGATTTCATAAGCTTTTCTTGATGGAGACTGTCCGAAGCTTTCTACTTCTAACTATCCCCGGCATGACTGCCAGCCTTGACTCCAACCGAAACAGCTCTACTCCAACCGTATACCTTTGGCCATCTTTGGCCTTAAACAATCCGAAAGGTACTCAAACCTTAAACCTCAATGGGATCGCCTTTGTCAGGCATCGCCTTTGTCACCCTTGGGCACCCTGGAACCTCCACGTGGACAGCGGATGCTGCAGCACCTGGGCGCCTCAGTGGTGGGCGAGGCCAGGCACCTGCACCTGGACCTGCAACACACATGTGCTACCAATATGGTAGGGCCATGGTGTTGGAAAATGTTGGAAGATCAACTAGAAGTTGTGCGCGTGGAAGTTTTAGTATTCAATTGTGGCCACATTTATATATATATATATTACCCAAGAGACAGAACTGACCGTGGGGAATGTGCCTTGTAGTGACATTGTAGTGGCCAAACGGAAGTTTCCATGGATGTTTCGAGCATTTTCTAGCCTTCAGAAACTGATGATCTTAGAAGTTTCTTGTATCATGTGGGGTTCAAGATGCTCTTTCCAACGGCAGGATCAGATCTGTGAGTTTCCCATGGCAAACATTGGGTATCATCACACCAGTTGGTGTCATCGGTGTCCGACCGATTCTTCGTCGCTTCCGGCGAGGAGGTTCCTGCGCCTCAGAAGTACGAGTCTGAATCGGAGGAGGTGCTCCTTCAGTTTCAGCCGATGGCCTTTGCAAGCTGAAAGAGCCATATATCATCATTTGGGTGTGTTTAGAAAGGAAGACCCCAGAGTCTGAGAAGAGCAAAATCATTAGACTATATAAAGCCCATTCGTTGGGGGTCTTGCCCTTTTATACACCCATTTCTTCAACTTGATTGATTGTCAGCACTTGAGATGCTTGAACGAAGGACAGAACATCAATACCTCGTATAAGGTCTTTGAATCGTACTACCGGTGTACCCCTTTGAAAACCATCCCTAGACCATAGCCTACCATTGAATGGCCACAAAAAACATTGCTCAGCCTACGACCCCTGTTTGAATTTGCCTTGCCCTGCAGGATGACCCAAGCTGCCCTTCAATCACTCCTGGCAGCCCTGCGAAACGCGTCCGGACCTTGACCGGAGGGTTAACCGGATCGCATGAACGTGCGAACCACCTGAAATCCCAGACCACCTTTCTGGTGTTTTTGGCCCTTTTATGGCTCGTTGCTTTTTATGGCTCCTTACAAAGACCATAGGCGACGTCTGCACCTAAGCACAAACTCCCATGTCCTCTTTTTGTTCATCCTCTTCAAATCCTCACAGCGAGCAAATGCCAATGGCCTTTACATGATTGCACTCTGATTCCCCCGAAGGAGTTAGCCCCAAACTCCATAACACTCTCAGGTCGACATCTAGGTCGACATCTATCGATCTCTTACCCATGCTAGGCCAAGCCTGGCTAGTTGCATCTAGTTGCATGTCAACTTGTCCAGGTATCGTTTGATGCAAATCTCAAAATTTTGAGCTTTTCTGCACGACCCGCAAAACACCCCCAAAATAACTCGCCAACTTGAGCCATCTGACCATGTCAGGAGTTGGAAGATCTTCAAATGTGCGTGTGTTCATGAATATCATAGAAGAACACGATCTCCGAACAAGAGTAGTGCACGCAATCGATGCAACCCAGGAAGTTGTGCTATTGCATGATGGGGGGACAAGGTTACCGAAAGGCTTTCTTGCAGCCATGACCAGTTTACCATTTGGAATTACAATTTCTTCACTCATTTGCTGCTTGCAAGCAACTGATGGTTCAAAACGTAGTTCAAAAAGGAGAGTACGTAGTGGGAAGTTCCAGGCTGGTATATGATTCCACACTTGTTCATTTTGGGACTCACCCCGCACACTGATTTCCAATCTTAAATTTAGATGTCATCACAAAAGTCCTGAGGCTTTGCCTGAGGCTGCCCATGCGCCCAGAACGGTGGCACAGTTGGAGCAGTTGCAACTTGGTGGCACCCCAGCGGATGTTGGGAAGGAGGAATTTGATACCTGCATCCTTAGGAAATGAGCCCAAGGCCCCCCTGAGCTCTTGGATTATTTACTGTATTTGGATTAATTTCCCAAATTCGTACAAAAATCCTGAGGGGGTTGACAACCAAGAAGTCAACAAACATTGTTATAACAGGTTGTTGGATTAATTAGCTGTCTAGGGTATGGATTAATTATACAAAAAGGGGGGAAGCAGAATGTGGATAAATAAACTTGAAGGATAGAAAGAACTCAACTACCTGTGAATTAATTTTGTAACTTTGTGATTTTTGCGATGGAATTTGGATGAAGGATGAAGGTGAGAGGAAACATCGTCAGTGGAACCCTTTTTGACACGGGGAGAATGTCTCAGAGTACTGATGGATAGTATCGAATGGCAGCATTGGGTGCACATTATATATATATATATATAAATCCAAACATTGAGCATCCAAAGTGAGATGTGGGTTTGATTGGATTTGAGGCTTCAATCAGTTCTTCAGACATGGTGTCAGGCTGACTGGTCAGGCAATCAGTGGCTACCTGGTTCTTGAGACTGGTGTCAAGCAATCTCAACTTGGTTCCTCAACAAGGGTACGAAGACATTGTTCACCAGGGGCACGTCATAGGATTTCATGGGAGCAGGTCTGGATTGTACTTGATTTTGGCATCATATTGGAAAGCCAAACATGAGCTGCAAGTTGGTTCGGAAGACACTGGGTCTTTTCTTACAGAGTCATGCCCTGGAACATAGTTGCGGAAGATACCATCTGAAGATACCATTCCCACCGATCCCCACCCCTCCAGTCCCGCATATTTAGGTTTGTTGCAAGCTCCATGGGCAGCCATGGCACTCCTGAGACTGGTTTGATTGAGATTCTAACATATATATATATATACCAGGGGCTTTCCAGCAGTTCTTGACCACAATACGTAGAAACATATGCTATTCATGGTGTTCCTACGCTTAAATGCTTATGACACTGGGAAGGCGAGTCCATGCTTTCGACCCTGCAACAAAGCGGCTCTTTGCCCCAGGATGCTCGAGTGGTCAGAGACACCAGCGGATTGCAAGGACAGAAGAGTGCATGTCAGGTTTCATTTGTACACTAATTTGCTTGCTCTGTTTGTTTCCTGCGCAACAACAGTGTGCCGCATAATTTCCGTCCAGTATTATTCTTTCATCTGAAGGGAGAGCAACTGCAAGGAGTTATCCCGGCATTCATTCAATACCTTTCGAATCCTATCAACAATTTCTGCAACAGCAGGACGGCGATTTCTGCTACGCCAAGGCTTTGACGCCCTACACATTGATCCCCGTGCGACGGCCCAATGAGCAGGAGATGACTGGTAGAGACACGTTCGAGTGATGTAGACGGAGATCGGTGAGACCTTTTCAGAGAAGAACCATGAGAACAGCGGTGGCGAATAGGCTAGGGTTCTGCAAGGAGTGAAGATGTTTAATGCTACGATGTTTGATGATAGGCCACAACAAAAGCCGTGTATGCCAAGATAAATGGTGGGGATGGGATGAGATGGGTAGATTCTCCACCAAAGGCTCTTCCGAAGGCGCTCGACCGGCCCAGCTCGGCATGCCCCATGTTCCGCCCAGCTGGTGCGCCTTCGTGCAGGACAAGACCTGGGTTGTGGCGGGGCGCAGTGGTCTGATGCCCGAAGACCTAGTGGATTTGGAGTGGAGCCCCGTTCGTAGCATCCTTTGCTCCTAGTAGCGATGCCAGGAGCCCCTAGTAGCGTCCTTTGCTCCTAGTAGCGATGCCAGGAGACCCTAGTAGCGTCCTTTGCTCCTAGTAGTACGGCCAGGTGCAAGCGATTTGTAGCTCATGTTGTATCTCCCATCACCGTCATCGCTTCACTGGTTGGCGGTGCCAGCATTTGGCATCACCTGGTTTGGCATGGTTTGGTCCCATCCTGCCGAGGTTTTGCAGTGAGACTGGCATCGAGGATTGGGTAACCTACAAGGACTGGCAGGAAATGCACTCTGGAAAAGGTCCTTCCATGGTCCTTCCTTGTCCAATCCGTGTGATCTTCAGAAGTGGTTTTATAATGAATTTATACCACCATCCAATGGACACTCGGACACTCCACTTGCCCTGCGCTATTCCTAGATTGGTCCGATGTGAAGATTGTCTATGTGCTTAGACGCTTAAAGGATCATACATTGCATGACATTGCGCGGCCGGTCATGCAAACCCAGCGTTTTCTCTGTTTTCTGAGAATCAGTCCACCTGGCCTGGCATGGCCTGCCATGAAACAAGACAAATTACACTATTAAGCAGTATATATTGAATGACATTGCATGATCGAATTTGAATTTTCGGTTAGCTTCCCTCAACCTAATTGATCAATCTGAGGTTACCTTAAAGGCCCTCAAGGTTTTTTTTTGTCGCAATGTAGGTATCGGCCATGCGCCAGACCGAGCCAAGTGGAGGACTTCTTTGCGGAGCGGGAGCTCTACCGGACGATGAAACGACAACGCTGGGCCAAGCAATTCCAGGTGATGAAAACGACAACGAGCCTGTCCCTTTTGGGGTGTGGAAACCAGAAACCGGACGAATCTGCGACGATCTTCTAATTAGTGCTTCAAACGTGTTCACAACGACAGTGCTTGATTTGGTGTCTTGCAATTCCGATTCCCATTGCTTCTTCTGGTGAAGAGGTGACCATCCAAATCAACTTACTTACTTGGTGTCCTGTCAACAGACAGATGTCCAGCAGTAATGGAGTCCGTGGTGCCCAGGATCATTCGGCAACCCCAGCAGTAAGAGGTGGACATGGGTGGACATCATTCAGCAAAGTATTTGCAAAGCTTTGGCGTATGGGCAAAAAGAAAGATCGGAATGTGGAAGTGGGTAAAAGTTCGATGTAATTGGCCAGATCGAGAAGAACTTCCATCGCTGGAGAGAGAATGTGGCCTGGAAGCAAGAGGGGGTCACCTTGCAGGAATGGCTGCACATGCCTGCAGACAGTGTTACATGGAGCTACCATTCGATCGTGCGCAGTGTATATAGGTTTTGTCTGAGCAAGAGAGTGGGTACATTGTCAAGGCTCCTTTGCCAAGCACGTTTCTGAGCTGAGACTCTAATCCATATAGTTCCAAGATGTACCAAGTAAGTAGTGCTTCAGCGCCTTCAAAACACCCAAGTGCAGCTTGCAGATGCCTCAAACGCCGGAAGATCCCCAGGCCCGTCGGGCTGGCTTCGCTTTGGCCCGGGATGCCGTCGCTGATCAGCTACTTGGCGTGAAACCGGTCGCTGCATCCGGGCGCTGCGTCTGGTCGTTTTGTTGTGAAAGTAACGTCTCAAGAGCAGTGTGAAGAGAACATTTGACCTGGATCAGAGTTTGAGTGGTTGAACTGGGGTTCCCATGTTTGGGTGATATATGGTCATTTAAGGCCAAGCATATCAAAGAGTAAATCATTGAACAGACATGGGCAAACACGGGTCAATCAGCAGGTCCAGAGGATTGAAGTTGCTGACATAGACATAGACATTGTTCGTGGTAGAGGGGTTCTAAATATCAACGAAGACGCATGCAGAGGCATCAAGACGGCAACATTTTCTTGGAAGAAGGAGGTGTGATGGAAAAGACAGGTTGAATCGAAAGAAGTAGAGAGGTTATATAGTTCAATAATGTTCATTAGGTTAGGCCATTGTTAAAGAACAGGCTTTGACAGTTGACAAGAAAGGATACATTCTCCTCAAACGAAGGTGTTAAGAAAACAGAGAGGTTATGATCAGAACAAGAGAGGTTGATGAAAACATGGGGTTTTCTTACAAGGTGTTCATCAAAAAAATACGTTATTCTTAGATGAGCGGTTGATTAAGAAACAGAGGTCGTAGTCAGAAGAAGAGAGGGATTGGTGGTTCTAAGTTCCCCGTTCCACCTCAGCCTTGCCAAAGCATGAGATTCTCTGAGATACCCATAGATTCTCAGCTATGTAGCCTTCAAACAACCACACCACAAGCAGCGAACACAAATCTACGACTACGAGATACCTCCTTCCGCCATGTCATCAGTCTCAAATGAAATAATTTTGGATTACATTCCCCAAAACACCCCTTGGTGCCAATACCCAGTGCGCAGACCCGTGGTCACGCGTTTCATTGTCACGCATCCTCACACATTGTCAGTACTATTTGGACACCTCTAGGGCCCCCTGCAACTAGTATGTGGTAGACGTTTCCAGCAGGCAATGTCTCACACGACCCTGTGACAGTCACTCGTTTGGGTCGACTGCATTTCATGAACAGAATATATTCGGTTTTGGTACGATCAGTCTTGACCTTCACCCAATACTAAGAAAGACCAAGCGGGCCGAAACCAAAGACTCTTAAGCAGAGTGGCTCATTTAGAGATACTCTCACACACTTGAGGCTTTTCCACTTGAAGCCCATCACTCAAGACGCTCTTTTGTGGCTTCACCGATTTTGCTGTGCTGCTTGGCCCCAAACAAATCCATTACGTAGCGGTGTTTGTTCGGAGGAACGGGATGGATGGAACACTTTTAAGCAGAAGAATCAGAATAGAGCATATTTCAGACCCCTTGTTCTTGCGAGGCGAGGGGTGCTTGGGGCACTTTGATTTGTATGATTTGCCCTCCAGCTCAAAAGCATCCTGTATGCTCAGATCCTTTGGTGTTTCAGCACTGCCCCCAGTTCAGATGGTTGAACCGCTGACGTCATCTTTTGCTCCAAACAGTCCAAGAACTGTTTCCTTCCCGGCCAATTGCCTCCCCGGACGGTTTCAGCCGCGCAGACCGCGGGTTTCGTCGCCGACCGCCGAGCGGCTGAGGAGAAGTTTGAGCGGCTGAGCCCGCTGGATGCGGAGGCCTTTGGACATCAGCCACGGCTCTTGGCGGAGTATGGGGCCATCCACCGCATGGGCAGCTCGGTGTTTTCGAGGAGGGCGTTTGGGTGAGGATGGGTGAGGTCGGTCAGATGACATGGGCTGTGCAGAGATCTATACATCTAATTATGGAGTGTGGTCCAACAGATAGAAGTAGGGGGAGTGGGAAGTTCCAAGGGGTTAGGTTAGTAAGCACGTCACAGCAAGTCTGCACATCAACGCTTAATTGTCCATCTAGAATCCTGCACCACTTCATGCCTGACCATAAGAAGAGATTGTTCCATGAAGAAACCAACAGAATTCTAGGGGTTTTCAAACTTGCTCATTTGACAATTTGACATTGGCATTGACATTGATGTGTTTTGCAAAAGCATGGGCCCCCGTGCCACGCAGCATTCAACGGCCAAGGCTGTGAACGGGTCTTGGCACTCGTAACAACCTTAGATCATCAGCTGGAGAATGGCCTTCGGAAGCTGGTCATCATTGGGATGTGGTGGGTGAAGAATGTAACTCACCAGAGGGAATGTGGAGGACATGGGGTGAGTGAAGGTGCCAGTCCTTTGGTCCAAATCCTCTTCAGGTTAGTGTGTGTTTGTATGAATTCACGCCAACCACTAATTAGTGACTTTCCTGGCACAGGTGGTCCTGCCGAACCAAGCTCGATGCAGATTTCCGGTAAACACTTGTGCTAAACGTCTGGCTGTGCCAAACCAGTCACTCAGTAAAATCCATTGTTACTAATAGCAAGAATGCTCCTAGTAGTAAAGCCAGGAGCCCCTAGTAGCGTCCTTGTTCCAAGTAGCGATGCCCTTTGCTCCTAGTAGCGTTCCCAACAAAAGATGATAAGAACAGCGGCTGCGGCCATCGATGGCCAAGCCGCTTTGGACGAAGCCCCGAGGCTCGATTGGATCCCTCCCGATTGGAAGGAAACGCAGGCAATGGCAATAGATTACTTACCATATTATCTATATAATTAGCTTGTTTAGCAACTTGTGCGATATTCTCTTTGTCAAGTGAGCATGTTCAAAGAAGAACCATGGAATCTCACATCGATCTCGCCCACATCGCACGAAGAAGGGGTGTGCGCCTCAAAAACCCAGCGTCGCTTGGTTTCGCACCTGGTGTCACTTCGAAATCGCTCGAAACCTGAGGAAGTGGTGCAGCAAGATGCTGCGGCCGCACCTCGACGCGGAGCGCGAGGCGGCGCCCAAGCCGCCCAACCTGGCGATCGCCGCGGCAGAGGTGGGCCGAAGGCAGTTGGAAGATGTTGGAAGTGTAGTTGAGATCTTTTTAAAGCACTGTCCATCAGAAAGGAGCTGGTCACAGTAGCCAATTGGCAGGTGGATTGGACTTTTTGCTCTTGCTTAAATCACTGGTCGAGTAGAAATCGCTTGAAGGATACTGGAGAAAGTTCCCACTCGTGGTACGCAGGGATAGGCGCCGCAGGCACACATGCTGCAAGCACACATGCGAGGCCATTGGGAGGTCTGCCACGAGGTCCGATCGCTTCTCTCGCGAGGTCACGGACGTCATGCAAAGCTTGGTCCCATTGATCGAGCCCAGCAAGGAAGAGGCCGCTGAGCTCAACCTTGAGGAGGGTTTTGATGAGGTTGGCATTCTTTTTCCCGAAAGCATTGCGAAGGGTTCTTCCGGAAAATCCCTTGAACACTGACACTTCGATACTTACACTTACACACTGACACTTCCACCACACTTGCACTACAACATGAACGCTATACGTATCCCAGTGTAAGTGGAAGAGCGAAAGCATCCAAGTGCAGTGTCAAAGTATGCAAGTGTTGCAAGTGTAATGATGCAAGTGCAATGATGAGATATGATGAGTATGCAAGCATGCAATGAGTATGCAAGCATGCAATGAGTATGCAAGCATGCAATGAGTAGGCAAGTGTGAGCATGGAAAACTAGCACGGGAGATGTCCTAATGAAAAAACATTTCCCCACATTTTGAATTCTCTCTTAAAGGCGGAGGGTGGGACGAACAGCGTCAACCGAAAATGTAACCCTCTGCGGAGATCGTGCGTGTCGAGTGCACGAAATGCAGGCGAGAGTGCGATTGGTGCTGCCCGCGCGCAACCCTCTGCGGAGATCGTGCGTGTCGAGTGCGCGAAATG